TGAATAACTATTATATTCCCCTAGTAACATATTACATATCAATTTCCCACAAATCAATTTTCTACAAAGACCTTCTTTGATCCCATTTCGTTTTCCAGCAGTACTACCTTTTCCATAATGAGTTTATTATCTCTTGTGTATACTTTCACATTTCTTTTTTTTTCTTCCATATTTCAATGACTATGTAATCCTTACTTTTCAAAATGCCCATAAGAGTACAGTATAATTTGTAATATAGGATTTACTTATCCATCTCTTTTTCATAAATATTATTCTTGCTCACTTCTTTTCTTTTCTTACATAAATAATATGTATTTTCAATGGACTTTATGTAACAATCCTGCATCCTTTTGCTCATTTAAAATCTTAACTAGTTTCTTTTGCTCATTTATAATCTTAACTAGTTTCTCTGTGATGTTCTTTATGATTGGAGAGCAATGAGAATTGTATATACACTGTTGAGAGTGATCAAAATTTTGTTTATATTTAATATTTGTTTTATTGCCATACAAATATATTGTCTTTAAGGTTACAAGAGCACATTAAATCATTACCTTGATGTAATATGTTGGTTATTTGTTTGATCTTTACTACATTTTGAATTAAGCAACTCTCCCAAATTAATAGTCTTATCACTTTTTACCCACTACAAATAACATAATGTCATCTACTACCCTAATGGCACTAAATAAATATCTATACTGATAACATTTCTGGCTTTGTAAACCGAAACCTTGAACATTTTTTGTAGTCTTCTAAATTAGTGTACTGACCTATATTTGTTTGTATATATTTTAAAACTTGTATATATATTTAAATTTATAGTTGTTCTTCTTTTAGCAATATCTCCAGAGCTATTAATATAAATCTTCCCTTAAATGCTTACACACATATCATGGCCTACCTGCATTTGTAATATTATTCCCTCAGTGGCAGAATTTTCTTTTCAAATGAGGTCAATAGCTTTAAGAAAATTTCACTGTTGCAGCTCAAAGGGATAGAGCACATGTTCTGCACGCATGAGCCCTGGTAATGCGTGGTTCCTCCAGCAAAGCTGGGAACAACCATTAAGAACCTATGAGTAAAAAGCAGGTCCCTAACTCTTTTGGGTATAGCTCCCCCAAACCAATCCACATCCAACCCCAAATTTTCACCTTTGAGGCACACATGTTAATACCAAATGTGAATTTCAGAGACATTATTTTCTCTATCCCTACAAATAACATTTAACAGCTTTTATACATGCAGAATCCTTATAGATTTACTATACCTATGAAATATTCCAGGAAAGTGATATATTTACTCTAATAAGATGATATAATTTGAAACTAAGGGGATGTTAGAAAAAGTGAGATGATATAAGACATAATGATTATCTGTGGCTAGCTCATCAACTGGTACAGGCAAAGAATCAATTCACCCTGTTATGGAAAGAAAGTTATCTATTCTTATTTTCAAGTAAATATATGATTGCTTCTAGAACCTGAGATCTATTAAGTCTGAAGAATGAGAGGGTATACCTGGTTCAGTGCACTGTTTATGAGAAAAGACCCAAAAACTCCTCTTTTGGTTTTTAGAGAAATCCAGAAAACTCTGACACTTGGGTGACATAAAGGCCCGAAGCAGAACAAACATGTTTCTGTTCTTGACTGGAGGCACTATTTCCTTTGTGACATTTGATGTTAACACACAGATGTGTAGGAAAAACTGTCTTCTGGGTTGTGGCTTTTCCTTTTGAGTTGGACATGTCTTCATTCTTCATTTCATAATACTAATGACGACGCAAGCATAGAGATTTTATTATTTTATTATTAATTTATTAATCTGGAGCGATAGCACAGCGGGTAGGGCGTTCGCCTTGCACACAGCCAACATGGCCGACCAGAGTTCGATTCCTCCGCCCCTCTCGGAGAGCCCGGCAAGCTACCGAGAGTATTCGATATGCCAGACACAGTAAAAACAAAGTCTCCAATGGAGACTTACTGGGCCTGCTCAAGCAAATCGACGATCAACGGGAGGGCCTTTACTTTACTTACTTATTATTTATCAGATTTGTATAGATTTTATTTATTACTAATTTTTAATTATTTAAATTTTTAATTGAATCACCGTGAGCTATAGTTATAAAGCTTTCATGTTTGAGTTTCAGTCATACAGTGATTGAACATCCATCTCTCCACCAGTGTACATTTTCTACCACCAATGTCCCCAGTATCCCTCCCCCTATGCCCTCACCCCTCCCTCTACCTCTATGACAGAAAATTTTCCTCTTTCTCTCTCTAGTTATGGGCATTATAGTTTGCAATAAAGATACTGAGAGGCCATCATGTTTGGTCCTTTATCAACTTTCAGCACACATTGCCCATCCCAAGCGATCCCCCAACCATCATTGACTTAGTGATCCCTTCTCTATCCCAGCAAGCATAAAGATTTGAAAGGAATTCACAGAAGCTGATATCTCTTTTCTGCAGATGAGACAAATAGGAAGTTTTGGTTGTGAGTGGAAAGACACATTATCACTGTGTTTTCCCTCTGAAGAAGCAGGAACACATTCTGCTCAGCCAACATGTTCCCATTAGAGTATGATTTGACTTCTGCTTTCACACAGTAAGAAGCAACACTGTGTAGACTTGTTGTGTGTGTGTGTGGGTGGGTGGGGAGTGGTGGGGTGGGGGCGATGATGGCAGTTTGGGAGGTATTTGGATGAGTGTTTTCCACTCAGTGTGTTCGTGTGACCTGACTCGCATTCTCAATTTAGTTACATCTTGCTTGACCTGGAAAATTCAGCTATGCATTGCTTCTCTTCACTTGGTTTACCTTGATTCATGAGGTGCGTACACCTCCTTCCCTAAGTATTTTTCTCTTTTCTTTGCAACCTAGGACTGGAGCCTTTCTCTATATGCCTACACATATTTGCTGTTTCTTTCTGTAGGGCTGCATTCCAAGCGTAGAAATCCAGCTGGGTTCCTATTAGTATATTCAAGAAATATGTACCTAAAGCAGCCCTAGCAGTTTTCCATTCCTTTCCACTAGATCTATTATAGCAGCTTCTTTAAGAACCCCCGATAGCAAAGAAATGAATATTCCCTATTTGTCTCCAGCTTTTCTTCCTTCCCCATTCCATTTTTTTTAAATGTATGAGATAATAGACAAGCCTTGAGTGACCTGTTTTCCTCCCATCCCCCCTCCCTCATTTTTCCTTGCGGTAAAATAGTGCTGAAGAAAGAGGGCACTAGTGTACAGCCCAGATCTCTTCCTTGCACCGTCTGGATTAGAGCTGAGGCGTCTGCGAACCGAGCGTGGTCGTGGTGTTCTGGCTCCGGGACCGTCGCGCTGCCTGCCCGGACTCAGGTATGTCTCAAGTCCAAATTCTGCAATATCCAGGTAGGTGAACCGGCACTTGCCGGTGGAGAAACCCATCCACGGTGGCAGATAGCGTTCCCATCTAGGAGATTTCCGCCCCCTTCCTGCTTTCAGGGGGTGCATCCTCGCATCCTCGCTTATTTTTATTTCCTCTAGTCCTGCATCCTCGGAAATCATCGGGACCCAGAGATGCCAGTAGTGTCTTTCTCCTTTCTGCCTACCTTGCCTCTTGTGTATTCTTGCTTTCCGTCTTCCCCTGAGCTCCCTTTCCTCCCCCCCTCCCCACCCGTCCGACTCTCACCTTGAGAAACGGAGCGGGAGAGGGACTCGAGAAGGAGCCAACTTCAGCCCCGCAGGCGACAGAGATTTGGCGCCTCAGCCCCCGGAGCGGCTGGGTTTGAAATACACCTGCAAGAGCGTTGGCTGCTAGGCGAGGCGAACCTACGCGCTGGGAGGTGGGAAGATGAGGAGCGTGTGTGTGTGTGTGTGTGTGTGTGTGTGTGTGTGTGTGTGTGTGTGTGTAATAAGGGGGAGCGGGGTTTTGAAAGAACGAAGCTGGGAGACTGGGGTGGGCTTGGGGGAGCAAAGCATCACACAGCTCACGGGTCCAGGTATTTCTTTGAAGCCCTTTGCGCTGCGGCTGCAACGAGCACTGTCCAGGGTGCTGAACGTGGGAGGGCTGAGCGGTCCCTGGGAGAAGACCCAGTTTCTTCACCTCCTAACCTTCCCAGCAACTCGACAAAGCCCTGGTGCCTATTTCGGCGACCCCTCTCGCTCCCTCCCTCCGTGCTCCCCTCCCTCCTGCCTCCTCCCTAGTCGCGGGAAAACAGGTTACCTGATCTGCACCCTTTCTCCTGGAAAATCGACTCCGAGCTCGACTTCTGGGGGAGGGGGATAGGGGCAAGGCTTAGCCAACTCTGACACGCGGAGACTTTACCAGGCGTTACCTTAGTAACTGGTATGGATTTCCCGAGGCTAGGAAATCCGTGTTTACTCCTTGGAGTGTATGTTTGGGTCCTTTCCCACCCCTCCATGTTAAAGTAGAAAGATGTCCTTCTGGATGGAGATCCTTGCCAAGTAGCGCTTTCACCTTCAGCGTCAGAGTTTCCCAGATTTCTTTTAGGAAAAAGTTTTTTTTTTCCTTTCCACAACTAGAAAGTTCTCTTAGGTTGAGAGATCTAGCTACTCCACCCCTCCCCCAAGCCCTTCAGTCTGTAAACTGGAGGGGTCAGAGAAGGGGGAGTTGGTGCCAAGAGATTTGGAGCCAGGAGGGCATCCCCAGGCTTAGTTTGGCGGGACTTGAGTCTCCCAAGACCTATGGGGTGTATGTATGTGTGTGGGGAGTAAGTGGGGGAGGACTGGGTGCAAGTCACCCCGCCATCCACCCCGGCCGAGCTGTTCCTGCAGCCCCGATCACGTTGTGCCACACGAAATGCATCGGACGGCTATTAGCGTCATTGACCCTCGAGTTTTGACACAGGTCCTCTTAAAGGAGCTTTGATTTCCCTTCCTCTTTTGTTTGCAGCGTCCAGCTCGCCGCTGCCACCCACGACGCCCGCCCGACTGCAGCCTTGAGTAGTTTGCCTGGGTGCATCACTGAAGAAAGGGGGACTCGAATTCTCCGAGCAACGCCCCCTCCTCTCCCGCCCCTGCACCCCGCCTGGCTTGGAGGTGCTGGTGGGGAGAACGCAGAGAAGCAGGCGGAGCGGAGGAAGGAGGTGGCGGTGCAGACGCGCCAAGGCGCTGGGCAAGCAGGCTTGGCGAGCGGGACGCAGCCGGGACACGCAGGACAGAGGTGTCCCCGCGCTGCGCCCCAGAACCCGCTGGCGGGACCCGTGTGGCACGCGGCCGGCCGGCCGTGGACTGCGTCCTCAGCACCATGGGCCGGCTCCTCCTCTGGGTTTTCTTTCCAGCTATTTTTTGGGAGATGACCCTTCTCCCCAGCAGCCCCGGCCGGAAAGTCTCGCTAGCGGGAGCTTCGTCGCAGCGCTCCGTGGCCAGAATGGACGGGGATGTCATCATTGGGGCCCTCTTCTCCGTCCACCACCAGCCCCCGGCCGAGAAGGTGCCCGAGAGGAAGTGTGGGGAGATCAGGGAGCAGTACGGCATCCAAAGGGTGGAGGCCATGTTCCACACGTTGGATAAAATCAACGCGGACCCGGTCCTCCTGCCCAACATCACCCTGGGCAGTGAGATCCGGGACTCTTGCTGGCACTCCTCCGTGGCCCTGGAGCAGAGCATTGAGTTCATCAGGGACTCTCTGATTTCCATTCGGGATGAGAAGGATGGGCTCAACCGGTGCGTGCCGGAGGGTCAGTCTCTCCCGGCAGGTAGGACTAAGAAGCCCATTGCAGGCGTGATCGGCCCGGGTTCCAGCTCTGTAGCCATTCAAGTGCAGAACCTGCTCCAGCTCTTTGACATCCCTCAGATCGCTTATTCCGCCACAAGCATCGACCTGAGTGACAAAACTTTGTACAAATACTTCCTGAGGGTGGTACCTTCTGACACTTTGCAGGCAAGGGCGATGCTTGACATAGTCAAGCGTTACAATTGGACCTATGTCTCTGCAGTCCACACAGAAGGTAGGCATCGCATTTGGGTAAGAGAGGTACTGAGGTAGCCAGGGAATTGCATGATGTGCCCTTGGCATCACAGTATCAGCCCTACTTATTTCTAGCACTGTGGGGAACAGACGACACTTATAGTACACATCCACCCAGGCATTGCCTTTTCTCCTTATTCTCTTATCAGAATGAGGCAAAAACTGTGGAGTTTTCTCTGTGGAGTTGGGGAGGGGGTTCGGATGGGGATCTGAGAAAGATCCCAAACACAGTTGCCAACAGTAGACAGATTCAGGTTTGAATTCCTGTGTTTGCCCTCATATTCTGAGTGTGTGTTTGCAAAAGCTTATTTTTCCAAGGTGTTTTATTGCCCTCAAGTGACTGGCCTTGCTCTTCCAAGCTTAATAGATGAATCCAGCGGGAGCAATTAAGGGAAAAACAATCACTGTCTCGTAAATTGGATTTGGAAGCTTTGTCTTGTCTTGAACAGATGTGCAAGGAATTTTTATTTTTTGGTAATAGTATGTCCCCTTTTTTCATATCCAAAACTTATTCGTGAATGTTTAGATTAGTGTCACAATCTCTCTCCATTAATCATAATCATACATAATTTGAATCCTGGGGTGTATTACATACAAAGAAAAACAAATAATTTAATTAAAATAATTCTATTACATATTGAAATTATCCACATGCCCTCCCTACATCTTCCCAAGAACTATTGTTTTATCAGTAATGTGCTGATGACCTCTTGGATTTGAGACATTTTTTTTTCTATCTACTCGGTGACTTTTGATTATTAGAATTTATAGTTAGGCCTATCACAAGTTACTAAAAAATAGTAGATATCAGGTTGAATGCTTTTAAAAAGTGAAATCAGTTCATCCAAGGTAAACTTTGTGTTATAGATATGAATGCTCAAAGAATTTCTTACATAAAGATTTTTTTACTGTTCCCTCAACTTAGCCAATGTTGAATTTTGGATTAAATGAGATGTTGAGTCATTTACTCTTAACTTTTTCAGTTAAGTTTGTGAAGAAACTGGGAATTTGGTCATAAACTAATGTCTAGGATTATTTATAGGTAGATTCTGTGATATGAAAGAGAATATTGAGAGTATTATTGTATTTATATTTCTTAATATAAAATTACGATAGGCAGGAGGCATGATTGCAATATTTTAATAATTATACAATATTCAGTTACATATGGGAAATCTGACTAAGGAAATTAAGAAGTATTCTTACTGAAGTGAAGTGATTATATGGTCATTATTAAAAAAAGAGATGCTTTCATTTAAAAAAAACTGAGCTTTCTGGAAAAGCAAAAGCAACGTAGACCCCATTTACTATAATTTTATCTTTTGTTTTTAAGAAAATTCCTGTTGCAATATTGTGACTTCCAACAACTGGCTCATATTTGTGAATCTTGAATTTTAATAGTGCACTGCACTTTTCTTTCTTTTCCAACAGAATCTTACACTACATTTTTAAGATATAATTTTAAGTTCAGATGCTAATCTATTATATTTTAATGTTTAATGTTAATTCCCTGCATTTCACTGTTTAATATAGTTTTCCTGAATACTTAGATAGAACATCTTGAAGTTACAAGTGAAAATCCCTGTTAATTATCAGCACTAAATGATCGCTCTAAAAGGAAATTATAGTTTATTGATTGAATATGATTTATTTAAATTTCTAATAATTATCCCTTTAATGAACTATATAAGAGATTATTGATATTAGAAACATAACTGATTCTTCAAAAAGTAATAATATGCCACTATGGTTTTAGTTTTAATAATTTATTATAATATTTTATTTTGGGTGTGGATAGAACCAGAGAAAAAGTTCCCTTCTTCTCTTCAATCTGTTTCCTATTTGCATTTCTCTACTAAAATTAATTGATGATAGTGGGTTGATTTCTTACAACTAGAATCATGCTTTTAGAAAATTAATTGAATTGTGTTTGCCAAATTTGTTGACGATAGGCTCATTAAATTTTCACCCTTGTATTAGTTTAGATAACTTGTTTTCTTTATGATGGACAGTTGTGTGTGGCAGAGATAATGTCTTCATACTATCATAGTAGCTGATTATGGATTAGATTGTGTTCATAAAACAGCTCATAGCTAACTTTACTGTTTGTGCTATTACCAAAATATTAAACCATTTGTTTACTATTCATCTCCTTTTAGAGATATTTTTTCTCTTATAAGACATAGTAGTTGTGGAAACTCTATTGTTTCTGTAGTCTTCTTATTTGCAAAGACATTTAACAGTGCCCTTTGTATAAGCTTCAATTGAAAATTTGTATTTCCTATGCCTTTGCCCTCCTGTGTCTTAGGAACTCATGGTGTCCCAGCTTGTGGGCACTTTTTTGCTTCAATCAGTAATTTTTCCTGACTTCAGACTGATGGGGTCACCTACTGGTGACAGTTTCCTGTCAAAAAGCAGCTAAGACCACATATCAATGTCTTTGCCATCTGGGCACTGTTCAGGAAGGAAGCCAGTTTGTTTGTATATTAGCAATTTGAAGCTTAGAATTCTGGGACTTCCAGTGACCTTCACCTCTCCTTCCCAGTATCCACCCTCAGGTTATTTTATCATCACAATTTCTATTATTAGAAGCTAGCCTAGAAAAGTTAACATCAAAAGCACTAAGTGACTAGACTAGTGTATCATAATTTCTATTGCTTATGTTGATTGACATTAGATTCTTAGATGGAGCATACAATATTTTGAATATCTCAATTATTTTATATCCTATGATCATTTGATATGAAAGTTTAGCTTAGGGGTATTTGCTTTTCAGCCAGCAGGATTGAGTCATTATAATCTTGACATGTTTTTCAATCTTCTACCACATAATTTGTGCCACACTGTTCCTCTAGCAATGACAACTTTCAGTTTACTTGACATAAACGATATTCAGCATAAATAAACTCACCTAAACTTGGCACCAGAAAAAAAATTCAGGTTTGATTCCTGAGGAGATGATTGAGAGAGAATCTGCTAAGGGGTAGACACAGAATTAATAGAGCCTTAGCCCCAATAAAAATTAAATGTATTTTTTGAGAAAGTTGTCACCAGAAATGTGTATCTATGCTAAGCATATAATACAAAAATAGCCTACTCGGTGAAGGACATCTTCATAAAAGATATTGTAGTTCATTATTATTATAGAGTCCAGATATTCCATCACAAGTGAATTTTATTTAAAGTACTTGAAATAATGCTAATTGATAAAATAAAATAAAATAAAAGTACTCAAGCATGTATAATAAAGAGTTCGAGTTTGTAGCTTCAAAAAGTTTTTGGAGTAGATACACTTGTTTTAAGACTTTGTATTCAGTATTCATTTTATCTTGAGTGTCAGATGAATAGTAATAAGACAAGTCTTTCAGAGATGCTACTTTTCCTTTGAAATGTTAACTTTAAGGTTTCTTTTTATTTGCAATTATGTTTTGTTGTAGCACATGCATTTTGACATTAATATTACATATGAAATTAACTTTCTTATATTTCTTTACAAAACTCAATCCTTCTAAAATCTTTTTTTGTATAAAACTTACTTTAATAGTCTACAGACATCAGAGAATAATCCTTTAAGTTATAAGTACATCAGTTAACTTCAACAAATGAAGTTACATACAAGAATTGTGTTATATTTCATATCTAGGCACTAGTAACTTTCCTTATACCTTTTAAATCTTAATTCCAGCCCATTTAATGGTCATCAACTACATAAATTGTCACATTTCATCACAAAATAAGGGTACAGGAGTGTTTTTAAGAGGCTATTTGGGCCAGCCAATTAAAGATACTTAAAAAACTATTATAGCCTTAAAACACTATTACATCTTTGCCAGAAAATAGTTCCCATATGCTTTAACTTTTTAAATTGTTATTAAGGTTTCAAATTAGAGTGAGAGAATAGACTTTCAGAAGCAGAATTTTCCCTATTAGTTTTTCTCTGTAATGATCTGACATCATATTTTCAAGAATTCACTGAATACTGATTTACCCACAAACAATTCAGAAATTTCTTCTCTGTGATATTTGTCAGCATTGAATCTCTCCTTTTAGTCACCTCACCAGTTTCTTAACTAGGTGATCTAGTTTAAGTTCTCTCTTCATCATAACTTGAGTAGAGTAGATTAGAGTCTAATACCCAAAAGTCTGGTATGCGTCAAAATAATGATTCTTTTATTTTAACAGTGTGGACTTAGATACATATGTTCAATTTCATTGAAAATTTGGCTAAGAACACACATGTTATTAGCATGACTAGATGAAGTTTTATATTTGTGAAATAAAAAAAATAATATCTAACTGAAATCTTGCTTACCCAGAGCTTTGATTCTCTAGGAAGCTTACTTGGATACTTGTTGAAACATTAAACTTTAATATTTAAGCATATTTCAAGGTGTTTTTTATGAACTATGTATGTAGTTCTTCAATTTCTCTTAAAGGATTTAAAAAACTTTAAAAGCACCTTAAGAGATTTTGTTTGTTTTCTTGTTTTTTGAGCTACAATGGGTGGAAGTCAGGCAGAACTTCTGGCAAAACTTTGGGGAGTGTTTGGGGTGCCAGGGATCAAACCAAGGTAATTAAGATAATTATTAGAAGTTCCATTTACTGTGATAAAACTGTAATCTGGAAACCCATCAAAAAACCCATAAAACTGAAATTATTATTGCAAATGACCTGTGATTGCCATAAATTTGAGGTTTTAATCTTTTACTTTTTCTTATATTGGCAAGATTTATTAAATATGTTTTCTAATTAATTTGATCAGTATTCAATGAATATTCCTATGTTTGCTAAACTTACTAATACATTTTCTAAGGTATTATTAAATCAGAAGGTTTATTCTGGTGTACATAGTGCAAAAGGATTAAGGTGACATATAAAGAGACACCTTTTTAATTTTGAGAAAGCCTGGACTTTTCTTAATTCTTCTACTTTTCCATTAATCATCCTGTGACTTCATTAGTCTCAGAGCAAATTTTTTTT